GATTTGAAAGGGACCCCTGAACAAGGACAATTATATGTTGCATGTTCCAGAGTAGGCAAACCAGACACTTTCCACATCAACACTGCCAAAGAAACAGCAATAAATACTGTTTAGCCACAAGCATAAAGACATTACATATATTAGAAACTAACACTTTCTCATTACTTTATTTTCCATATCAACAGACTGGGCCACAGCAACGCATGGCAGGGGACAGCTAGTATATTTATATAATCCATATTGTTGGGGAGGTCTGATTTTTTGATAACCACTACTGTTGGCAGGGCCAAATTCAAGCTTCTTTGACTCCTTCTTTCTCTCTCTCTTTTAATTCTTCTCTCTGGTCTTTTGAAAACGGCACGGCTGCCATCTAATGGTGAACCATGGAAAGCTATGGATAGAAAGAATGGCTGGAATGTGGAACCCTTCTGGGGCTTTGCATTCTCTGCAAGTGGACTTTGCCTTGCAGGATGTAGCACTGGGCAGGTGTGCAATGTTCACATCCGTACTGTTACATTACTGCTTAGCAGAGTTGGTGGAGCCCTCAGTGGCAGAATGGGTTAAACCCTTGTGCTGGCAGGTCAACGGTTTGAATCCAAGGAGAGCGGATTGAGCTCCCTCTGTCAGCCCCAGCTCCCCATGCGGGGACATGAGAGAAGCCTCCCACAAGGATGGTAAAAAGAATCAAACATCGGGCGTCCCCTAGGTAACGTCCTTGCAGACGACCAATTCTCTCACACCAGAAGTGACTTGCAGTTTCACTCCCGACACAGGAAAAAAAGGGCAGCAGCCATGATGCCTTCATGAACTCCATTCACATACCATGCAGTCCTCCTTTCTTATGTCATTCTATTCTGTTGATCTCTATGATCTTTCATTTATTGGTCTGATCACATGCTTTGCCCATGATATCTATCTATCTGTCTGTCTGTCTGCCTGCCTACCTACCTACCTACCTACCTACTAGGCTTGGTTCATAAAAAATGGTTCAAAACCCGTTTAGGCTGGTGGTTCAGATCTAAAGTCAATTCCGATTTTCACAGAAAAAAAAGTTCAGAACTTTTCAATACTTCTGAGACTTCCAAATCCTTCATTAATGGTTTCAAAGTGTTATTTCCTGTTTCATTGGGTGGCCTTTACTTTGAAAGTAGTTGTTTTATTCCAGAAAGGGCTGGGGGGGGGAAGCAAAGGGAAGGAATCCATCCACTCTGGTTTAAACTGCTTCTCCCATGACTGACCAGGAGCGAAAGGAAACTGAAGGGAATCCATCCACACAGGGTAAAACTGCATCTCTTGCTCTGGGAATATGGCAACTGGAGCTTCCATACAATGGAATGGACAATCTGCTTTTTCACACATCTTTTTCAGTACATGTGTAAAAGATCTTGGAGTCCTCGTGGACAACAAGGTAAACATGAGTCAACAATGTGACGTGGCAGCTAAAAAACCCAATGCGATTATGGCATGCATCAATAGGAGTCCAGTGCCTAGATCCAGGGAAGTCATGCTATCCCTCTCTTCTGCCTTGGTCAGACCACTTTATATGGAATCATACTGGGTACCGCAATTGAAGGGAAATGTTGACAAGCTGGAATGTGTCCAGAGGAGGGCAACTCAAAGGATCAAGGGTCTGAAGAACAAGGCCTGTGAGGAGCGGCTTAAAGAGCTGGGCATGTTTAGTCTGTAGAAGAGAAGGCTGAGAGGATACATGATGAGGGCCAGGTATCAATATGTGAGGTAAAGTTATAAGCTTGTTTTCTGCTGCCCCGGAGACTAGGACGCAATGGAGCAATGGCTTCAAACTACAGAAAAGGAGATTCCACCTGAACATGGGCAAGAACTTTCTGACTGTAAGAGTTGTTCAGCAGTGGAACTCTCTGCCCTGGAGTGTGGAGGAAGCTACTTCTGATGTCAAACACGAATTCAGGGGGCCCTGCCAAGGCAGAGGCCAGCCAGACCCATAAAAGAGGATCCGAACACCCGGCGAGACAGAAAGCACCCAGAAAGATTTTCCCTAAATTTCCCAATAAATCTCACCAAGTTGAAGAGGAAGCCACAGAGCTGTTTATTTCATTCCAGCAGGAACGGATGTCAACCGCAATCATTTGCCCAGAAGCCGACATAACTCACAAGGGAAAATATTACAGTTTTTATAGGAAATACAGAGCTGTCAAATTCAAATTTCCCACTCCCGCCCTCCTTTCCGGCTTCTTATTGATTGGTTGGAGTCATTAGCTGGTTGGGAGGCGCTAGCCCCACTTCGGCTTCTCAGCCAATGGGAAGGGAGGATGCGGGCCAGGCGGGAAACAATGAAAGGAATGGAAAGGTGATTGGATTAAAATGACTAATGCGGAACTCCCTGCTGCGGTTCAGATCATAGAATCATAGAATCAAAGAGTTGGAAGAAACCTCATGGGCCATCCAGTCCAACCCCCTGCCAAGAAGCAGGAATATTGTATTCAAATCACCCCAGACAGATGGACATCCAGCCTCTGTTTAAAAGCTTCCAAGATCAGCTTGAAAGCAAGGGCTTGGGTTTTGACCTCATTTCTTTGGAGGTTTTTAAGCAGAGGGTGGATGGCCATCTGTCAGGGGTGCTTTGAATGCAATATTCCTGCTTCTTGGCAGGGGGTTGAACTGGATGGCCCATGAGGTCTCTTCCAACTCTATGATTCTATGATTTTCTTAGATGCTGAGAAGGCTTTTGATAATGATTTCTGGTCATTTGTTGCCACAGTGGGTTAACCTCTGGATGGGAATAGCAATTGAAGTCTCACCAGGTCTCTTCCAACTCTATGATTCTATGATTTTAAATCAAACTTTGCAGGATATGGCTGCGCTCAGTTTCCTTGAATAGGTTCAGTACCTTGGACAACCCCTTTCAAGTTCTGACTAAATCCCAGAACGGATTTACAAAGTGAAGGGTTGTCCTTGGTCCTACTACTCACAAATCAAACTAGAACTGAGCATGGATTGTGTTTTCAGACCTGAAAATGGAGTGGACAGACATTGCTGATGCAGAGAAGAATTTATTATGGCTCTCACTCTTTGTCATAGTTAGAGACTTCTAGAAGGTTCTGGTCAGGATCTCGGAAGTAAACGGACCTTATTGGACCCATTGCCCCTGTTCTGGACACCGGACCGTCTTCAATTTTGACCCCACAGGCCTGCAAGCAAGGAAAGAGAAGGGAAGTATTATTATTATTATTATTATTATTATTATTATTATTATTATTATATTTGCATCCCACTTTTTCCCCAGAACTGGGATCCAAAGCGACTCAATCTTAAAAACAAGTTAAAAACCAGAAACTGGGTTGTTGTAGGTTTTCTAGGCTGTATGGCCATGTTCT